ACCCAAGTACTCATGCCGTCTTCTATTGCTTTCCTAAGTGCATTAGCAGGGAGCTGGGTCAGAAGCAGAGCAACTGGGACTTGAACCGGTGCTCCAACTTGGGATGCTGGTGTTGCAAACAGAAAAAGCTCAACCCACGGCACCACTATGTTGGTTCCCTTCTTTCTCTTTAATAAGTAAAAGGTTTAAACTTGTTTAGGGGTTGTCATTGTGGCACAGTGGGTTAAGCTACTGCCTGCAACGCCAGCATCCCATATGAGCACAGGTTCAAGTTCCGGCTGCTCCACTTCCCATTCAGCTCCCTGCTCACGTGCCTGGGAAAGAGCATCCCAAAGCAGTCCTTCTGACACTATATTCAAAGTGAGCTGGATTCCATTAGGGCTCAGCAAGAGTAGGGTTGTTCTCCTCCAAGAATCTTGCATGCAGTTCAGACAGATGCCCCAGCCGGGGAGAGCTCTCCGAGTTTGTCACTGGAGCCCCACAGTGGCAGTCTGGCCCAAGTGCATTCAGGTGTTCGGGCTACCTGAGCGAGTCACTTCCCCTTCACCGTTCACAGCAGAGTTCAGTGGTTGGCAAGCCGGGCTACACATCCACACCGCCTGGGAAGCTCTCGGACACTGTGGGTGCCGCACCCCACCACACACCCATCTCATCCAGAAGTTTGGCTGGGTGGGGCCCCGGCGCCAGGAGCTCCCTGCTGACTCTCTCCTGGGATGCACTCGGCACATTGCTCAGATTCTTCCCAGGTATCCCTGCACGGGGCAGGCACTGGGGATGCAAATGAAGATGCTGATTCCCCCGCTTTCTTATTGATTTCACATCTGTAATATACGAGGAAGAAGAAGGAAAGGAAAGGAGTTGGAAGCCAAGTAAGAATCCTGGAGCAGCAGTCCCCAATGCAACTCTCACCACGACGGAGATGCATCATTGCCTGCACTGTTCATTACAGCAGCCACGGGCCACATGTGACTGCTGAGTCCTGGACACGTGCCTGGTGCAGCCGAGGGACTCGATGTTCAATTTTTCTTATAGACTCCTCTTTAAATTCCACTTTACACACACTTCTTTTTTTCTTTGAAAGGCAGAGTTAGAGAGAAAGGGAGCAAGCGAGTGTCAGAGAGAGAGAGACAGAGAGAGAGAAAGAGGCATCTTCCATCTTCCGGTTCACACCCCAAATGGCAGAAACAGCTAGGGCCAGGCCAGGCTAAAGCCAGGAGGCAGAAACTCCATGTGAAAGGGCCCTAGTGCTTGGACCATCATCTGCTGCCTTCCCAGGTGCTCTGGCGGGGAGCTGGATCCAAAGCAGAGCAGCCGGGACTTGACTCAGCACTCTGGTATGGGATCCCAGCATCACAGCAGCAGCTTACCCTGCTGTGCCATAAAATACCAGCCCCTGGATTTTAAGTTTAACACCAAATTCAAAGTTTCAGGGCCACATATAACTTCAGGCTGTGCTAACAGTGGACAGTGCAGAGTCTGCGTTTTCTAAGCCCACCCAGGCCTAAGCGTCTCCGTGTCCTGTTTTCCTAACAGCACCTTTTCACCTTCAGGGCTTCCTTCCCCAGGGCTTGCGAAGCTGTTCCTCTGGCCTAGAGGTGGCCCCAGCCCAGGCCAAGCCAACCCGACCTCCCTTTCCAGGAACTTGCCCAGAGTTTCAGTGTCACAGAAGAGAACATGAGTCGAGTAGATGGGTGCGATTGTTGATGCCCTAAGACAGTGTGTATCAGTTTCTAGAACATCAGTCTAGGGCGTGATAAGAACAGGAACGCACAACCTGAGCTAGGCACCTTTGTCATCATCCCCGTCACCAGTCACTGGGAGCCAGCAGTTCTGACACGCCAGCGACTGGGCGAGGTGCACACCCGGCCTCACCTCCCCGGTGCAGCGTTTCTTCACTGAAACTTCTCCCAGACTTTTTCTGAACACGGCAAAAGAGATAGTGGCTACAAAAGCTTTGAGCCAAATAGAGAGGTACCCAAGTGCCTGTCGGAGCAGCTGTTCCCAGGGCCCAGGCATGCGTGAGTCAGGGGAGGGTTTGGTGAGAAGGACCCAGGCCTAGGCCCATGTCACACGCTGTGCGACCTCAGCCCCACGCTCCTCCTCTTGGGGCTCTGGCCAAGAGGAGATTAAGTTAGACACAGCCCTTAGCAGCCCCACCATGGTCTGCTCTGGGTATGTGCCCTCTCACCTAACACACATTCCCTCCTATGTGCATACACACATTCTAGAAAATTCTCTAGCCTAGGTCATGCCGGTCGGGTTCCCGACTCACCTCTTCTCCACTTCCCCACCTGCCCGGGAAGTCGCTCTGAGCCTGCGGTCCCACAGATTCCTGTCCTAACCCTTTGACGGGGCACCTGCAGGGGACCAGGTCTAACCATCTCCTCAGCAAACAGACCCCAAGACCCACTAGGGAAACTGCAGCCCCGTTCTCCACTATGACTTCTCTGGTAGCTGGCACACAAGCAGGTGCTCAGTATGGGAGGGTCTCAGCGAATACCTTAAGTCTAGTTCACTAGCTGGCATTTCAGGAAATCCACGAGTCAGGCCAAAATTCACTGGTTCAAAACAGTGAGGGTCACTGAGTCTCTCTCCGTCTCTGTGGGAGAGAAGTTCAGACAGTGCACAGCGAGGTGGGCGTGTCTGTGCCCCCTGCATGTCGGATTCACGGGGCAGGTGCTGGAACCATCTGAAGCCTTGAATCCCCACCTATCAGGTGCTCGGTTCTGGCTGTCGCCTGACAGCCTACAGGGTGATGCCAGCAGAACACCCTGTCACAGCTGAGAAAGAGAGGGCGCTGTCGCCTTGATGTTACCGTAGGAGCCACACAGCCTCCACATCCGACCCATGAGGGATCACCAAGTCCAGCCCACGTCCAAGGGGAGGGAATTACTCCCTCCTTGGACAGAATTTGCCAGCATATTTTAAAACCACCAGAAGCACGTGGCTAACACAAAAGACAAAGTGTATGGTGAGACCCCGGTGTCTGGATTCTGGCTCCGCTCCACACTCGCTGTGAGAGCCTGGGGGCTGCTCTCAGACTCGCTGCCCTTTTATACGGTGAGTAGGTTTCATTGTGGAGACCCAGTGGCTTTCTCTCTTTTAACTTTATTTTTCAGGATTTATTATTTGAAAGGGAGTTAGAGAGAGAGAGAGAGAGGTATCGTCCATCCGCTGGTTCACTCCCCAGAGCCAGAAACGGGTCAGGAAGAAGCCATAAACCTGGAACTCCACCGAGTGGGTTGCAGGGGCCCATCTTCTGCTGCTTTCTCAGGCACATTAGCAGGGAGCCTGATCGGAAGTGGAGCAGCCGGGACTCCTGGCGCTCCTATGGGATGCGGGTGTCCCAGGTGACAGCTTGACCCTCCGTCCACAGCGCCGGGCCCTAGACCTCAATGGCTCTCCCGGGCCTGTTTCCTTCTCACCTTAGTGAGTTTGAGAGGACCCACACTTAAGTTACTTCCTTGCAGCCCTGGGATCTCGCCATCCCGGATCCCCCATGGCTTCTGACCCTGGCTGCTGGTGCTCAGAGACCCCAGGAAGCTCAGATCCCAGAGACAACCCCACAGATGGGGAGCCCCTGAGGACCTGGGGGTTCTCTGAGGTCTTCTCCGCCCCAGCCTTGGCACACACACCTCGGCTTGTCAAGAAATGCAGTGAGCGGGGCAGCGCTGGGGCCCAGTGGGTTAAGCCGCCACCTGGGAAGGCAGCATCCTAAGTCAGAGTGCTGGTTCCAGCCCCAGTTGCTGATCTGCTGATGCGCCTGGGAGACAGCGGACGATGGCCCCAAGATCTAGGGTCTCTGCTGTCCCCCTGGGAGACCTGCAGGAAGTTCCAGCTCCTGACTAGGGCTTGGCCCAGCCCCAGGCATTGTGGTCATCTGAGGAGTGCAAAAATGCATGGAAAATCAATCCTTCTCCTTCCCTCCTCCCACAATATGTGTATATGAGATTCTGTCTTTCAAATAAATCTGTAAAAGTAAGGGGAGGGGCTGGCATTATGGCGTAGCAGGAAAAGCCTCCATCTACAGTGCCGGCATCCCATAAGGACACCGGTTCAAGATCTGGTGCTCCACTTAAGATCCAGCTCTCTGCTGTGGCCTGGGAAAGCAGCAGAAGATGGCCCAAGGCCTTGGGCCCCTGCACCTACATGGGAGACCCGAAGAAGCTCCTGGCTCGTGGCTTCAGATAAGCTCAGCTCCAACCATTATGTCCATCTAGGGAGTGAACCAGCGGATGGAAGACCTCTCTCTCTCTCTCTCTCTTTCTCCTTTCTTCTGCCTCTCTGTAACTCTGCCTTTCAAATTAATTAATTATTTTTAAAAATAAAAGTAAGGGGAAACAAGCAAAGCAAAGCAAACCGTGTAGGCAAGCCTAAGGACCCGGAACCTGCCCGCTGCGGCCCAAGAATCCGCATGTCCCATGCACCGTCATTGGCAGCAGCTGCGGGCAGGACAGAGGGGAGGAAACAGAGCACACACCAGGCTCCGCGCATCTAATTAAGTCCTTGGCTTCTGCCGGTTTGTGTTGCCACGAGTGGAACGGGCAGCTTTGTGGAGTGAGTGGGGAGAGAGAACAAGCTGAGTTTCTGAAGCCCAGGGACCACACAATGGCAGGCGACCCTCCCCTCCTCCAGGCCCTGCTGACGCCCCACCTCCCCTCCCACTCCCAAGTTGCAGCCCTGCAGCCCTACAGCCCAACCCCGACCCCAGAGAGCCGCAGCCCTCCCTCCCCGTCCAGGGAGGCAACTCCAAGCACCCAACTCCCACCCGTGCTACTCCTCCGGGCTTTCGGTTCCAGAAGCAGACACCGCCAACCTCACTAACTCTAGACATCCTCTCTTAAGGAACACGTGCGGGCTGGGGGGCACTCTGCGCTCACCCAGTGCGACCACTACTGCGGGCACATGGGGACCCGGAGGCCTTCAGAAGGAAGCGATCTGTTGAGCCTCTCACAGCAAAAGCCGGGTCTTCCGGACCAGTGTTCTCACTTCCACCCTAGCTGAGGGCCCCCGCGAGGGACCCCCCTCAGGGAAATTCCTGACCGCGATAATTCCTTCCGTGCCGGGAATCTCCCTGGAGTTTGCGCTCTGTCCTGTCCGGGCAATCGAAAACTCCTTCTGCGACGCCACACCGACCCCGCCGCGCCCCAAAACGGAGGTGAGCAGGGAGCCAAAGCCCCCCGCATCCCGGAGATAACTTAGGGAGGCGAGAGGGCGGCGGGTGCCGGAGGACCGGCCGGGAATGAGCTGGCCCTTTAAGGGGGGGACCGGGCGCATGCGCGGAGCAGGCCAGAGTCGAGCCCGGTGGGCGACCGGCGGGCAGTGGACTCGGCGGGCAGCAGCCGGGCCCTCGGGAGGCGGGGGCGGCCCCAGCGTCGCCGAGCCGCCAGAGCCGCGATCCGCCAGTGCGCGCCGCGATCTGCCCGTGGGCGCCGCGCTCGCAGGCTGCTCCCCAGGGGCCGGCGCAGCGGCGTTCGCCCGCCCAGGCTTTGTCGCTCGCCTCCAGCTGCATCCGCCAGCCGTGGCCGCGCGGAACCTGCGGGCTGGCCCTGCGCGCCCCGTGGTCCTCCCTCCAGCCGCTCGCCGGGCCGCGGGAGCCCGAGCGCACAGCCACGGAGCATCCTTCGCACGCCCCGGCCGCGCCACCGCCCATGCTGCAGCCGGTCTGGGACAGCGACCCCGCGGCCGGAGCCCGCCGCTCGGTGACCTCTGCTCGGCCCCTGCGCGCTGCCCGAGAGGTTCCTGCTGAGCCCCGGACCCCGGCGTGGGACCCGCGCCCGGCGATGGCTCAGTCAGTGCAGCGCGGCGCCCGGTGCCCGCCGTCCGCCCGCTGAGACGCGCCCGGCTGGGGACCTCAAGGCCTTGGCTGTCCCAGCCTCCGCCTCTCCGCCGCGCCCTCCTCCTTTCTGGGGGGGCTCCGCTGCTGCTTCCCGCGGGCGAGCGGAAAGGGGGCCCAGACAAAGCCCACTTGGTACAGGGAGTTGCAGCGGGCGTGGAATGCGCGCGTCGGCGCGCGCCCGCTCCCCGCGCCCCGCCGGCCGCGAGTCGTGGCTCCGGGACTAGTCTCGGGCCCCAGCGCCTCCGGGGCGCCCGGACTGCTCGGAGCCTCCCCTCCCGCCCGGTGTCGCCTGGGCCCCCCGCGCCGGGGCGCGTGCCGGGGCGACCTCGGGAGGGTTTTGCGGAGGGACTCCCTCTCGCCGCCAGCGGGGTCCCGGGGCGCCGGGTCGGCGTGGGCACTCGTGCCCTGACCCTGCCTCCGTGTGGCCGCAGGTCCGAGTCCTCTAGCCTCAGTTTCCCTCCGACGGTCTCCTCCAGCCCAGACTGCTTGCCCGGCATTGTTCTCCCCGCCAAATGGGGGTGCTTTGCGAAGGTCGCCAGGGTTGGGGGTGTTCTCTTTATCCCGGTTTTCAAACAAGACGAGGCCTCTCGGGCTGACCCCTGCAACCCACCCCTCAACCCCCACTTCACGCTGTTGCACTGACTTTTTTTTCCTCTTTCTTTCGAGTAGTATTTTATTGTACAGGAGCCACGCCCTGGTGTCTTAAAGGCGCCTTGCACTCTGTTTGGCCATGTGGCATCCTCACAGCTGGTGTGTGGGAGGCTTCTTGTGAGCCCCCCAAATTTCCCGCCTCCTGATACATCCTCCCACCCTTGTCAAGGATTCAGGGATGCCCGGGGGGAAGAAAGTAGGCGGGGGTGGCAGCGGCGGTGCTGCCCCGACTGGAACTGCTGTGGCCGCCGCTGCCGCCTCCTCCGCTGGAGCCGGAAGCTTGGAGCCCAGCGAAGGGGCCTCGGCCCAGAGAGACGAGGAGCCAGAGGAGGAAGGGGAGGAGGACCTGCGAGATGGAGGCATCCCTTTCTTCGTCAACCGGGGCGGGCTGCCCGTGGACGAGGCCACCTGGGAAAGGATGTGGAAGCACGTGGCCAAGATCCACCCCGACGGAGAGAAGGTGGCGCAGCGCATCCGTGGGGCCACGGATCTGCCCAAGGTGAGGCGTGGGGCGCAGGGCCACCTGGGGTGTTCGGTGATCCGGAGTCACCCTGCCCTTTGAGGGTTAGGGATCCGCGGGCACAGTAAGAGTTTAAACACCTGTCAAGAAGGACTTTCCTCTGCCATTGGGGTCTCCTGGGAGGGGGCACCCCTGTGTCCTGAGCTGAACAGCAGGTGGATTAACAAATGTACTTGACAAAATGTTTTCAGGCATTGTCTCAGCAGTCTCCCAGCATATGCGGGAAGGACGTGCTGGTTGCGTGCCCATTTTATGGATGGGGAAGCTGAAAACTCAAGGTCCTGGCACCAAGAAGTGGCAGAGACTCCATGCCAGGGCCTGGGGCTCTGGGATCTGTGCCCTCCTGGGCACGAGCTTTGGGGCCCTTTGAAGCAGTTCGGTGGAGAAGGGTGAAGTTAAACGAATTTTCTGTGTTGGCTGGACCCTCCCACCACTGCTCTCTTCCCTTGGGTCGCCCACGGGGGCAGAGGCTGTGTCTCATTCATCGTTGTCTTCTCAGGGTCTCCTGTGTGCCTGGCACTGAACAGGCACTTATGTGTGTTTGCCCAATGAAAGGGTGTTTGAGACTTCTGTGTTGCACAGTGCTTTATGCAAAGACACACTTGGTGTTTTTTTTTTTTTAAAGAAACATTATGGTTAGGACTAAGGACGCATTCTCCCAAATGCAGAGACCCGAAATCTCCCCGGCAGAGTCCCACGGACAGAGACCCGAGCCCAGTGCTCAGCCCTGCCTGCTCAGGTGGTGAGGAAGGGCACGAGGGGGGATGGCAGCCAGTGCGATGGAACAGGGGACGTGTGGCCTGCTGTGTTTTGTTTCCGACAGGGTTTGGGCAGAGCCACCCAAAGCACATTTTCAGTGAGAATCAGAGGTCGGAGGTTGAGCTACTGCAGGATATTTCCTGGGGAAAATAAGATGCAGATGGATTTCGAATCGTTGAATCGCTGCGCTCTGCACAGACTTGTCATTTATTTAGCTAATCCCCTCTGGTTGGACATTTTCTCCCTCATCTTATTTTTAACCCTGTGGTGAACATTCTGGAGCATAAATTTCGGGGTTCATCTCTGATTATCTCCTCTGGATACATTCCTGAAAGACAACATGTTGCACCCAGGGCCGGTGACGTAGGCTGGGTCAGTCTGCCAGGCTACATGACTTTGGGCAAGCCTCATGGGCCTGCGTGAGCCACAGTCTTCTCATCCGTAGAATGGAGTTGATGGTCGAGGAAGAGTAAATGAGAGGTTGTGTATTCAAACGTTCGGCAAACCATAACGCCCGAGCCAGTCCTGGCGGCTGGCTGTCCATGCATCCTGCGCATCCTTCGACTCGAGGCCACACTAGACTTTACTCATAGCTTTTGTGGCCACCAGGCCCGAGTCCCGTGCTCCTCCCACGTGAACCAGTTGGGGCTGAGCAGGTGGCTCTCCAGCCATCTCACTTCTGTCTAAACCGGGCCTTGGCTTCTCTGCTCCCAGGGCCTGCAGGAGCGCCTTAGGGATTGGTCCACGGTGTCCTCGTGTCACCCTCCGTCCTCAATGGAGGAAGCGCATGGATGAAAGACACTGACATCTGTGGACAGGGAGGGATGTGAAGAGACTGACAGGAGTGTGGTGGAGAGAAGGGGGATGGGTGAGGGGTTTGGGGGAATCTGAAACCGCTTGAGCCACGCCTGAGTCTGCGTGAGGTTCTTCCTGTACCTCCATTAGAGTAGGGGCGAGCTCTGCGAGCCTGGGAGGGGTGGGGGGTGGGGCAGGGCATGGAGGAGTGAGGGCAGGCCCAGGCCAGTGGCTGCAGGGTGGGTGGGCGCCCCCTGGGCTCGCCCCTTCCTGAGTGGCCCTGAGTAGGAGCAGGGCCAGAGGCAGGCTCTGCAGAGGTCACACCATAGGGGGCCCAGGAAGTATGTTGTGGGGACTACAAAGACCACACGAGCCAGGATTTAAAGTTGGGAGATTTCCTCCAGGAAGCCGCAGACTTCTGGCATGAGAACGAGAGGACCTGGGAGCAGAGAGGCAGTCCCATGCTGCTGCACAGTGGCGGCTGGTGGCTGGGTCTGGGGAGCACTGCCCCCCCACCCTCAGTTTGGCACAGCCCCTGCCATCCACCTGCCCAGCCTGCCTTCCCTTTTCATGTTGCCTGCTGGGCCCCTGCGGGTGGCTGAGTCTGGAACCCCCTGAAGGGTGGTGTAACAAAAGGATGCTGTGGAGTCAAACCCAGCGCTGAAATCCTTACTTTCCCGTAACTGCTCACACGAGCAAGGCATGGGGATAATAGCAACGCCCACTCCAGAGGGATACTAAGTGGCGTGGATGGCAGAATGCGTGTGATGCTGCAGTCGGTGTCCCGGGCTGTTACCAACATGTTAAGGGCAGCTGTTTGCAAGAGAATCCCAAATCCATCGACAACGTCCGCTCCCCAGAAAGGATCTCTCCTTGATGGTTCGGGCTGTCACCACCTTTCAAAGCTTAGTGGCTGCTTGCCTCAGGTCCAGCTGCAACTCCAGCTAGGGAGTCTGGATGTCTCCCCTGAGAGGGTCACAGTGCTAGGGTCGTCGTGTGCCAACCCTGACACCTTTGGCACGCACTGATGATAACGGTGATGGCTCGTGTGCCCGACCCTGCTCGGATGCTGCGAGGTTGGCTGTGGGCTCCAGATGGGGCAGCCAAGGCACAGTGAAGTTCAGAAGCCTCACCGAGGTCACCCGACTGTCAGTGGCAGAGCTGGGCCCTGGGAGGCAGTGTGCAGTGCTGGAGCCGGCCCCACTCACCTCGAGGCCGTTCACCCTCGGCACACGTTCGGTCGTAGGCGCTCCCTGCTTCCCTGAGCCTTCTGCCATCCACGTGGACCCACCAGTAAGAATATCTTGGTGGAACTGGGGGCTCTTGGGGTGTCTTGGAGGACACCCTTGGCCGTGGCAGTGGAAAAGGGGCTGTCCCAAAGAGATCCGGGCAGCTGACGTCACTCGACCCTACCACATCCCCACCTAACCCCACTGTTCACAGGGAGGAAGCATTTTCTGGCTCCTGTTCTGGAGGTGGTGGGTGGAGGGCAAATGCCTGTGACCTGCCCTAAAGTAGGCCTGGTCATTTGTTTGTATGAGTTTATTTATTTGAAAGGCAGAATGACGAGAGAGAGAGAGAGAGAGAAGAGAGAGAAAATCTTCCATTTGCTGGTTCACTCCCCAAATAGGGATGGGCCAAGCTGAAGCCAGGAGCCGGGAACTCCATCCGGATTTCCCATGTGAATGGCACAGGCCCAAGCACTTGGGCCATCTTCTGTTGCTTTCCCAGGTGCATTAGCCGGGAGCTGGATCGGAAGTGGAGCATCTGGGACTTGAACACTCACATAGGATGCTGGCAGCATCGCAGGCAGTGGCTTAACTTGTTGAGCTACAACACAGCCTGTAGGGTCTTTGTTAATCGTGTTGGGATGAATGCGTGTGCCTGCAGAGAATATTTAGAGAGAAGCTGGTGGCATCCGCAGTGGGCTTCCAGGAGTCAAGGCCACGGCCGACCAGCCCCTTCCAGCTGAGCTGCAGTGGGCGCGGCCTGCAAGGGCCTGCTGGGAACCTAGGTCTTTCCCAACTCTTCCCGCTCTCAGAGCAGCCAGTTCCTGGGTCGTTTGGATGGCAGGTGCCAATGCTGTTGTGGGTCCCGTCTGGCCCTGGCCTGGGCCTGGCCTGGCTCTGAGGGAGGTTAGGTGAATGGTTCCTAGACTGCGGCCCCTTCCCTGTGGGAGCTTCTCATGAGAGGGTGCCTTGCAGACTTTTAGCTGGAGTTCCTTGAAGCCACTGGAGCCCCAGCTAGCAAGTGGGGATGATCCTGCCTTG